TGAAAGTAAGAACATAAGAGCTCTGCTGGATCAGAGCAGTGGTCCATCTAGTCCAGCATCCTGTCTCACACAGTGGCCAACCAGTTCCTCTGGAGGGCCAACAACAGGGCACAGGGGCTGAGGCCTTCTTCTGACGTTGCCTCCTGGCTCTGGGATTCAGAGGTTGATGGCCTCTGAATGTGGAGGTTCCCTATAGTCATCATGGCTAGTACCCACTGACAGACCTTATCCTCCATGAATCAATCTAATTCCCTTTTAAAGTTGTCTAATGCTTGTGGCCATCACTACATCTTCTGGCAGCAAATCCCACATTTTAATCACATGCTGTGAAAGAAAGTATTCCCTTTTGTCCATCCACCCATTAGATTCATTGGCTGCATCAAGTTCTAGTATTTTGGGAGAGGGAGAAAAAGTTCTCTTTCTCAGCTCTCTACACCCTGTGCATAACGTCTGGTCAGAAAGTCTGGTTTGATCTAATTCCATCTGTATTTGTACACAAATTATAAAATGCAAGTGAAGATTTTTTATTAAGTTTATAAATGATCTTTTTTCAAAAATATTCAGTGTAATATATAATAGTGCATGCCACTGGAAATAAAAAGGGAAACTTATTTTTGGTACAGACTTTGACACCACATAGATCCAATAAACAATATGGATTGGTCCAAATTCTGTTGGTAAGGAGTATGACTGCTTAAGGCAAAACCTTCATGTAGCATTCAATTTGTCACCTAATTGCTAATTTTCTCTTTAATTAATTTATTTCTTTGTAAGGTGAGACATCTAATAAGCAATGCAACAGGACTAGGACTAAAGAAATCTGGATCTTACACAATGTATTGTGGGGTATTACTCCATAACACATCTTTACCATTGGATCTTTCTAATATACAGAACATTTTTGTTTTGCCTAAGAAACTGAATAAGTTTTTTAAAGTTTTGTTGCACTTCTTAGTATTCACAGAGCACATTACTGAATGTTCAAGGGGCTTCACATACGTTCTCACTAATCTTTAAAACAGGCCCTATAAGGTAGGTCATTATCATCAACACATAACAGATGGGGACTAAGGACAAGACAGTAGCTGCTTGCCATGGGTTTCTTAGCTGAAAAACCATTTGGACCAGGAGCTTTCCATCTAGCAACTATGTAAGCTTCAGCTGTGTTTCAGTTTCAAGATTGATTTAAAAGGATGGCGAGCAGTAAGTGATTCCCGATAAGAGGTTATTTTCCCCAGCAGCCAAAAAAAAGAAAAAGAAAATAGCATCACTCCAACACAAGTCAAGAATATATATAGAGAGAAATTATGTCGCAAAAAAACCCCCTTTCAGTGTCACAATGCTGTTTAGGGAAATTTTCCAGAAGAATTCCTTCTTTTCTCATTTGTGATCTGGAAAAAAACCCCACCTTCGAGCCAACAATCTGAAAACCACTGAATTATGCATGCACATTAGCAACACAATATAGAAAAAGCAGTCTGGTAATAAGGGCAAACTTCCTCTGGGAACTGCATTTCTTATGGTGCTGTGTACAACAGCCAAAACTCAGTTCTTTCCTCCTCACATCCCTCAATAAATTACAACTGTGGGGATGCCACACATTTCATTACAGTTGTAAAAACTGGAGCTTGGTTCCTGCTTTAAGAGAATTTCAGGATTCCCCCTCCCCAGTATATGAAACTTACGAGCTGTTTTAGAGAGCTCTGATTCATATTGCTGCACACTGAAGAGGACATTTTTAATGTTCAAATGGTTGTAAGATATACAGGAGCTGCAATATCATAAAAATACAGTTATAACAGAGTTCACAGTGAAAACAAGATTCAAATCCAGTAGCACCTTCAAGACGAACATGATTTTCCAGGGTATAAGCTTTCGAGAGTCAAAGCTCGCTTCGTCAGTCCCCTTGATTCTTGACTCTCAAAAGCCTATACCCTGGAAAACCTGGTCAGTCTCTAAAGTGCTACTGAACTCAAACCTGGCTATTTTACTGTAGACCAACACAGCTACCCACCAGAAACACTGAAAATGGAATCCAAGCTAACCGTGCCTCAGAGGCAGAGACTGAACAGTAGCTGCACTAATCCTCATGTCCAAAGGGAATTTGGCCTGCAGTAGAAAGCCAGAGATTGCATTAGAGGAGACAATGAAACACCCCAAGGGCACCCAACTAAGCAAGAGAAATTAATACATAAAGAACAAAAGAAGAGAGACAGGTGAGGATTTTGTCAGACCCTTAAGGAAAGCTCCTGAGACAAAAAGCTAGCAGCAATGGCTACCTTATTTTGAAAAGCATATACCGCATTACCCCATTTTCATATTATAACCCACTTCATCTTTTTTTAATGTCCATCAGATATTGTTCTATGCTCTTGTTAAATATTTAGACGCTTCCTTTGAAGCTGCAAGTACCAGTAGCCTTATGCCAGTGACCTAGATTTGTGTTTTAACCTCTTCCTTATAAAATAGGTCTGCTTCTCATTCTGCCCTAACAAAAAGCAAGTGTGAACAGTGTACAGTATGTTAATATTTCACAACTACTGGAAGTTTTTCATCCTTTATATTAGGAGTATTAGAAAATATGTATTTTAAACAATACCACAGAAGATTCTACTGATAAGTTCTATTTTCATGTTTCCACGAAACACAAGCATTATTGAATCTGTTGGCTCTGAAAAACGAACCATTTCAACTGCGGCTTCTCAGGTTTTTCTAAACTGGTCTACATTAATAAGATACAGTTCAGTTCCTGGCTTCTTCAAATCTGAAGTCATTTCAGAACAGTTTCCTGTTAAGCAATATGTTTGCCATAAAACAGTTGTGCTGGCTTACTGCACACTATGACTTTGCCTAATGGATTGCCTTTAAATTCACTGGTAATGAACATAGGATTTATTATTCCAGATGCCTTTAAGTCCTATGCCTCTAATATCTTTAGTCATCCTGCAGCCTAGCTTTGGCAGTTATTAGAATAAGATTCGGCTTCCAAATGAGATTTATGGAATCAAAGCTAAATTCAAACATTTTCACCATATTTTAAATACAGATGGGGAGCAGAATTAGAAGACACTGAACATGCTTTGATGTTTCACCCACTTTGTGAATATCATAGCATACAATTGCATATTTATTCCATTTAATGTTTATTTTAAATGTAATATCACTATTACACATGGATTGCAAGCACAATGTGTGAAAGTTGAAAAATTGTTTTTAGAAGTTCTCTGCCCAAACTATTTTTGTACTTTCATCCAATAAATCAATGAGGGTTGGTCCCAGATGTATCCAACTAGGTACTCAGCAGACAAGAACTTTACATGTTTCAACAGTCCAAAAAACAAGTATGCCAGCTTACATGAAATGTCATATAAAATTAAGGCAATGTGAAGGAGTTACACCTTTGCCAGGTAATCTGACACCTGGAAGCACAGCTATCTTTCTCAAGTAACTTAGAGAAGAAGTTTTATGCTCTTGGGGGGTGGGATGTGTTCACATTTTTGAAATCTTGTAAAGCTTTAAAAAAAATGAAAGAGGAGACAGCAGGCTGATGACCCTGCCTTTTTAAACAAACAAGAAAAGAGAAAGCAGCCCCCCTCTCCACTCTTCCTTCCTCATTTCACCAGAATACAAAACACAATCGAGAAGAAATCTGTCCACGCAGCAACTAAAAATATAATGAGGGACAGGGATCATTCATCCCTGGGTATAACCAGGTCTCAAGACTGGAAATTAAATGTGCAAAGAGAGGCAGGCACAGAGATAACTCCAGATGGGTTAACCCAGCGGCAATTTAAATACAAGGCTCATTTTCCTTTACCATTTATTTACTCAGAAAACTTATACACCACTTTCTCCAGTCCCCTGTCTCTAGACTCTTATTTTATTCTGCCAGGAAAAGAGACGAATGAAGCACAAGCCCACCATATAAACCAAACCGCTCCTTCCTCACCAGCATCTCCTAGGACAGTGGCGCTCTCCGCCACCCGCTAGGAATCAAAACATCAGCAGCATAGATGTTCTGGAGCCCCCTGTCACTGGACTTATTTTATTCTGCCAGGAAAAGAGACAAATGAAGCACAAGCCTGCCATATAGACCAAAAACGGCTCCTTCCTCACTAGCATCTCCTCTTCTAGGAGAGTGGCGCTCTCCGAAACCCGCTAGGAATCAAAACATCAGCAGCATTAACGGGACCGGTCTGTCTGCCAGCAGTAGCCAAGGCCGGCTAACAGGAGCCTGCTCAGCCTTTTATCTGAGGATGAGTAACTGACGATGGGGAAACGAAGACTCAACAAGGACAGGAGGGGGAAGAAGACCCACCAAGGCGAAGCCCAACAACTGCTTTGGCCAGCCTGCCAATGACCTCCTCCTCCTCGGCCAACATTTATCCTCCCCCCCCCATACTGTTACACCCACCTTTTCTCCCCACGATCAGCCCGCCCCATCCACACCCTCGCCCAGTGTTCCCTCTAAGCTGAGTTGGTGTGAGCTAGCTCAC